AGTGCGAACCACCTACCTTATGGTTTGCTCCAGCCTCTTCCTATCCCTGAGGGTCGTTGGCAGTCCATCTCGATGGACTTTATCGGTCCTCTTCGACCTCCGACCCCCCGCAGTCATGATGCTATCCTGGTCGTCGTCGACCGCTTCACGAAGCGTGCACGCTTTGTTCCGTGCCGCTATGCCGTCAGTGCACGTGAGGTCGCCGACATCGTATTTGACCGAGTCGTGCGTGACCACGGCTTACCTCTAAGCATCATATCTGACCGTGACCCGCACTTTACCAGCCGATTCTGGCGACGGCTCCACGAGGTGTACGGCACTCAGCGCCGATTCTCCTCGTCTTACCATCCTCAGACTGATGGTCAGACCGAGATCACGAACAGGACTCTCGTGGATATTCTCCGAAAGATTGTTCGTGACGACCAGCAGTGGGATCTCCATCTTGCCCACGCGGAGATAGCCTACAACCACGCCGTCTCGCCAGCCACGGGGATGTCGCCTTACTATTGCGACCTCGGCTATCACCCGCGTGTTCCCGCGGACTTCCTTCGACCGTCCCAGATGCACCCCGACACGAGTTGTTCCGCGCTGGATGATTGGGTTGCACACATGACGTCGATTATGAAGACCGCACATGAGCACATAGTCGCTTCCCAGACTCGCATGGCAGCACGTGCGAACCGATCGAGGATGGATCACCCATTCAAGGTCGGTGATGATGTGCTTATCGACGCCTGCCACTTACAGCTCGAAGCGGACACGCTTCGCAAGTTTCGGCGTCGCTTTTTTGGCCCATGCCGCATCCTCCGGGCCGTCGGTTCTGATACGGCATCTAGCCCGGTCAGCTTTCGTGTGAAGCTGCCCGACTACCTACGCCAGGCTCGTGTGCATGATGTCTACCACGTCTCGTTACTGCGTCCTTCCCGCAGACCGTCTGAGCGTTTCGCTGGACGACCATACGAGCGCCCTCTACCCATCATAGTGGACGGCCACGAGGAGTTCCTCGTTTCAGACATCATTGGTCGCTGAGTCACCGACGACAACCCTCCCCACGTCGAGTATCTCGTACGTTGGAAGGGTTACCCTGATGAGGAGGCTACCTGGGAGCCCCTCGAGCACTTGCAGCACGCTCGCATGTTGGTGCGTGCCTATGATCGTGCTCATCGTGCTGGGTTCACTGCTCCTCCTCAGCCCACTGACCCTCCTCCTTCTCCTCCGGCTGAGGAGAGCGCTGAAGTCGAGCCTGCTCCATCTGAGGCAGACCTTCAGCAGCAGCCGGATGCCTCTGAGCGTCCACAGCGCACTTGTCGTCGTCCTGCTCGATACGACGATTGACTCTGACTTACCTTCCCACGTCTTTGACTTCTCAGTACTCCATCCACATCAGTTTTGCTACTTCAGCTCGTCGGCGTTGCAGCTCTTCCTCGACGGCATTCCGCACTTCTCATCGTGGACGTCATCGGCAGCTTCATGGACTTCATCATGATCAGCCCTGCCTACTTCAGACGTCGCCACTCTCTTACCACTCTACCCTGTACAGTACCGTACCCTGCTTGTGTCGCATGATGGTCTCCCTTTAGCTGGGTTCCTCTGAGTTGAGCTCTGCCTTGGTATACGCATAGGCATCGGGACCGTAGCGTTGCCCTGGCTTCCCATCTTACGGATCCAGCTCCGACTTCCCTCAATTTAGGAGTCATTTGCATGATTCCCTTACCCATCATCTTTCTACCCTTCGCCGGCCCTCACACCCTAGTTAGGCAGCCCCGCATGCTTCATCTAGGTGCGCCCAGTATACCAGGCTCCCTTGTTCCCTTGCATGGTCGACCCTCCATAGCAGTCACCCCTTAGTCGAGCATTACCCGCCCTGATGGTCTATCTGTTAGGGTCATTGGTTTTGTTCGCTCCCTGTTCCCTACCCTCATTGAGCCTGATGACATGTGTTTTCCCGCCAGTACCTCCTGGAGTCGGCAAAAATTAGAGTACCTTAGGAACAACGCCTGTTAGGGTATCTGTCCGCCGGCAAAAATTAGAGTAGAAACGTTTCTACTCTAATTTTTACCGACTACAAACGTTTCTAACATGTCCTCATTGAGCCTGTTAAGGGTATTTGTCCGCCGGCAAAAATTAAAGTAGAAACGTTTCTAGTCGGATGAATTTGGACGCTCCTGTAGTAGCCCATAGTTTTCCTAAAATCATGGCGCGTTAATGGGCACGAGTTCAGGGTATCTGTCCGCCGGCCAATATAGTCAGTTGTGTATCGCCGGCGCAGGGCGATAAGGACCTATTTCCTTAGGGTATCTGTCCGCCGGCCAATATAAGAGTTTCCTTTTCATTTTTTGCCCATTTAGCTAGCCACTTTGCGTTGGCGCGAAGCTGCAATATTAGGGAGGTCGGAGGGGGTGGGGCGTTTTTGCATCGATGTTGTTTTCTTTTTTTATGTGGTAAAATTAAAAATATTTAGATTTCCGTGGAAGACTGCGAAAAGGCCCGCGGGAAGGTCGCATGCAGATGTACCGGGTTGGTGGAAGTGTGGATGCACTGAAACTCTGTCATGATGTCGATGTCAGGCCCCGTAATTTTTCGTTTTATGGGTCCTTTTCTTTGCATTCGTGTAAATGATAAAAAGCATTGTTTACGAGTTTTTAAATGAGAAAAGAACGCCACACACCGATTTAATCGGTGCTAGTGGGACTTGGCCCCAGGGGACAGGCATATGTTCTTCTCTCACCTCACATATTTTTATCTGGCGTTCTGCCATGTCATCATGGACCATATCTTTCCTAGCATGGAAGTATATTTAAAAAAAAAAAAAAATTGACTACAGTTTGGGATGGCAGGAGAAACTAACAATGGTTAGGGTTTGTCCTCTTTTGAACTTGCATATATATAGTAGGAATATTGGAAGCTGATCCGTCGTCTTCCTTTTTGTTTTTCGGCTTTTTCGTCTCATCATTTTTTCGTCGACATGGGGTTTTGTGGTGTGTGCTGGCCCCATTTTTGGGCTTGACCGATGCTGTCGCGCTCTTAAACTGGACCACGGAATTTTTGTGAGGGACGCCAGGCCCGCGTCCTGGCATTTTAAGGAAATTCTTATATTACAAAAACAAAAACAAAATGCAGGCTGTTCGGTCTGGCCGCATTTTTTAAAGCTCCCTTTTGAAATGACCGCCGCAGTTGTTTTTACTATGGATTTTTCCACATTCTTCCCCCAAATAGAACGCATGGTCATTTTCCCTGCATCTGGACTGAAATGTGAGCCAAATGCGGCCATCCCGAACAGAACGTACCGTCATTTTCACTGTATCTGGACTGAGGTGTGAGCCAAATGCAGCCATAATGACTGTACGTTCTCTATACCCACGAACACGGTAGTACCCCGGACAAGCAAGGCGTCAGCCGTATTTTTCCCCTCCTGGACAAGCATCAGCGGCATTACCTACCTTTGACAATCAAGAGCCCCCCCATCCACACACGGGGGGGGGGGGGGGGCCCTAGGGGGGTTCAAATGAGTGGGGGGGGGGGGGGGGGGGTCTAGGGTGGTTCAAATGAGTGTTCTGATGATGGTGAGCCCCATTTTCATCGTAGCCAGACAGACCGGTATTACCTACCCTGGACTCGGACGGTAGGGGGCCTACCATGGACAAACAAGAGCGCTGTCATTCCCCGGAATCCAGACAGTGTACATAACCGCCGCTCTGCATCATGATGTGGAAGTCACGTAGTTGCACCCATTGCACACATCTTTGGCATTGGCCCTTTCTTACCTATGGGGTTCACGGTTTCAGAATCTGGCTAACTTCTTCCCCCGAATACAACGTACATAGTATGATCATTATGGGGTATATTTAGGTCTCAATACAGAGCTATAAATAATGATCAGACGTACGTTGTATTCGGGGGAAGTAGGTAGCTTCCTTGCAATGATCCCCCCCCCCCCTTTTTTTTTTTTTTTGGGCCCATTCTTTGGAAAAAAATAGTCCTCTTTCTTCCAAGTATGAAAGGGACTGCTGCACTCTCTATAAAAATCAAAATAAAATGAAAAAATATTGTCATTCATGACGAGTGAAGGCCGTCAGACCCACCAAACATTCAACAAAATCTAAGAAAAGTGCGTGCCAATGACCTCAGCGCGAGTCAGCGGACATTTTTTCTTTTTCTTTTTCTTTTGTGGTCAAATGGACGAAAAGGAGAAATGAAACAAAACACAATTTGCAGCACCATACACAAAAAAAAA